CATTCTTCCGTGTTCAGCAAGTTGAGATGCAGAAAACAATTACTGCTCATTATAATGAAGCTTCTGAAGGAATAGCTATGGCTGTGCATAAGTACAACAAGAAAGGACCTGAGCAGAACAAATTCATGACCAAGGCAGATCATCAGAAACTTAAGCTTGAAAAACAATCATTAATCTGTACACATTGCAATAAGAAAGGACATTTGATGAAAGATTGCTTTGAAATCAAAGGTTATCCGGATTGGTTTCAAGGTTACAAAGGAAAAATAAATTCAAATTCTGGATTTAAGGACTCTGAAAATGGTACTGGACATAAGAGGTTTGCTGGGAATGTTGAAACAAACAATAAACCAATACCTGATACAACCACATTTGTTGGAAATACTATTTCTAACAAGAAACAGAAAGGTGTAATGCAAGAATTTCAAAATGAAGTTGGTGAATCTGGAATTGAATCACAGTTTTCAATGCTAAGACAGATGGATCCAAAGGTTGTTCAAACTTTCTTGTCTCAAAGGAACAATAACAATTATGAGTATGATGTTGGTTCAGCGTCATCCAGTTTCAATTTAGCAGGTATGATTCTTGCTTTCCATACAGATTCAAGTTCAAATAATTCTATGTCCACAAATTGGATCATTGACTCTGGAGCATCTGACCACATGACATGTGATATCAAAGGACTACAGAATAAAACATCATTGATTAAGCCTGTATTCATTGCATTACCTGATGGTTCCGTTATAAAGGTTGATCTCATTGGAGATGTGATATTATCTAAGGATATTATTTTACAAGGAGTTATGTATATTCCTGAGTTTAAACATAATCTGCTATCCATTGGTAAACTCCTCAAAAATACAAAGCTAACAGCAGTTTTTGATGACTCTGGCTGCTTTATTCAGGGCCCTTTGGTTGACAGGAAGATTTGTTTGGGGAGGAAGAAATCAGGCTTATACATACTTGAAGTTGATGACAGCATAAATAAAGCATTTGCATGTTCCTTAGATAGGAATAATTCTCCTGTTCTAGAAGAATCAAGTTCTGAACACATAATGTTGTTACATGCTAGACTAGGTCATTCATCCTTGTCCAAGTTACAACATTTGTATGATACTTCTGTTTTCAATAAGGTGAAGAGTTTGTCATGTGAAACATGTATTTTAGCCAAACATCACAAGTTACCATTTGATAGAAGCAACTCTTTGACTTCAGCTATGTTTGAGCTAGTTCACATAGATTTATGGGGTCCTTACAGGTGTAAATCACTTACAGGAGCTTCATATTTCCTTACTATACTTGATGATCACAGTAGAAACACCTGGACTTATCTAATAAGGGATAAAACTGAGGTTTTTAACATAATCTCTAGTTTTCTTACCTATGTGGAGACACATTTTGAATCCAAAGTAAAGAATATCAGAAGTGATAATGGCACAGAGATTGTTCAAGTTGCTTGTAATCAATTGTTCAAGGAAAAAGGAATTATACATCAAAGAAGTATTCCAGGAAATCCTCAGCAAAATGGCAGAGTAGAAAGAAAGCACAGACATCTATTAGATACTGCTCGTGCATTGAGAATTCAGGCTGAATTACCTAAGAAATTTTGGGGAGAGTGTATACTGACTGCTACCCATTTGATCAACATCATGCCATCCTCTAATCTCAATTGGAAAACACCATTTGAAGTTCTTCACAAAAAAAAACCAAACTATCAACACTTGAGAGTGTTTGGCTGCCTATGTTATGCAGCAACAAAACCTGTTGACAAAATGGATAAAAGAGCAATCAAATGCATCATGTTAGGTTATCCTTTTGGTCAAAAAGGATATAAATTGTATGATATTGATTCTCAGAAGGTTTTCCTAAGCAGGGATGTGATCTTCAAGGAAAATATATTCCCATTCAAAGGCCACAATGAATGTTCTTCTGACCTATCTGAAACATTTTTTCCACTTGGAAGTTTTCTTCCAACTCCTGAAAATACACAAACCATTCAACCTAACACATCTCTAACACCTTCAATACCTGAAGCTCAACATTCAACTTTACCTCAATATGAAATTCCAGTTCCTCCTAACATATCTCAAAATCACATTTCAAACATCATTGATCAACCACAGAGAAAATCATCTCGAATAAGGGCTATACCACAAAAACTCCAAGATTTTATTTGTAAAGATATCCCAAGATCTTTACTTCCAGAATTACAAAACAACGCCTCAACAACCTCACAATTTGCCAATATGGTTTGTTCTTCTTTGAACATGTTTGCTTCTGACTATGTAGCATCATTGGCAAATACATTTCAAGTCTATGAACCTGTCACCTTCAAAGAAGCTGTGAAAGATGAGAAATGGATATCAGCAATGCAACAAGAACTTCAAGCTTTGGAGAAAAATAACACCTGGGAACTTACTTCCTTACCCATGGGAAAGAAAGCCATAGGAGCCAAATGGGTATATAAGATTAAATTCAAACCTGATGGAACAGTTGAAAGATACAAAGCTCGTTTGGTTGCAAAGGGATACAACCAAATCAAAGGAAAAGACTTCAAACATACCTTCAGCCCTGTAGCAAAGTTTACCTCTGTCAGGACACTCATTGCTATAGCTGCTGCAAAGAACTGGAAAATACACCAATTGGACATCAATAATGCTTTTTTACATGGCTTTGTTGATGAAGAAGTTTACATGGAAATTCCAGAAGGATATAATGGAGCTCAACCTGGACAAGTATGCAGACTAAAGAGATCACTTTATGGCCTAAAGCAGGCTTCTAGACAATGGAACCTTGAACTCACCAAATTCCTAAAAAAGTTTGGCTTTCAACAGTCTAGACAAGATTATTCCTTGTTTATCAAGTCAGAAGGACAATCCTTTATAATTGTACTTGCCTATGTTGATGACCTACTCATTACAGGGAACAATGAAACCCATATTCTTCACATCAAACAAGCACTGGATAAGGCTTTCACCATAAAAGATCTTGGACCTTTGAGATACTTCTTAGGCATAGAAGTTGCTAGAAATTCCACAGGAATCATTCTAAATCAAAGGAAATATATCTTGGATATTCTCCAGGATACTCATATGATAGAATGTAAACCTGCTACATTTCCTATGCCTACTGGACTCAATCTTTCCAGTGATACTAGTGATCTTCTTCCAGAACCAGATCAATATCGCAGACTTGTTGGAAGGCTGCTATATCTCAATCTTACTAGACCTGACTTGTCTTACACTGTGCAACAACTCAGCCAATATCTGAGTGCACCACGTGTTAATCATATGAATGTAGCACTCTATCTTGTCAGATATCTCAAATTTACAATCAATCTGGGATTGTTTTACCCTGCTCAAAATTCCCTAAATCTGACAGCTTATTGTGATGCTGACTGGGGTTCATGTTACATAACTGGAAGGTCACTAAGTGGTTATTGCATTTTTCTGGGTCACTCACTCATATCTTGGAAAACTAAGAAGCAGAAAACTGTCAGTAAGTCAACTGCAGAGTCTGAGTATCGAAGTATGAGCTACACAGCTTCTGAGATCACATGGATAGATGGTTTACTTAAGGAACTTCACATAACTGTTAGTAAACCTCTTCCTCTTTTTTGTGACAACAAAGCAGCCCAACATATAGCTGAAAATCCTGTCATGCATGAACGTACCAAACATCTTAGAATTGACGTTCATTATATTAGAGAACAAGTGCAAGAAGGAATTATACAGCCACATCATGTTCCTACTACATGCCAAATTGCAGACATATTTACCAAGGCATTGAGTTCTCAACAACATCAAACATTTTTCTCCAAGTTAGGACTTGTTTTCAACTCACCAAGTCCAACTTGACGGGGGGCTGTGAAGATATGAGTATTATTAGAAGTCTTGTTATTACAGTTAGTCGTATATACTTGTTATAACAAATTTAACTGTATTAACAGTTCTATACACTTCTATAAATACTGATGTACTCAGACTGTCAATTGATGATTCTAATTCTTTGGTTAGTAAGAAATGCATTTTTCTCAGTTCTATACTCAAACATTTCCACAATCATATATATTAATTACAACAGAATTAAAGCCACAGATGGAAGGCATCTCTAGACTTTTCAGGATCTATCTTTTGGCTGGCTAGCTCAATCTGCACTGGCCAGTTGACATTACTATTACCATAGTCCAAAGCTAACTCCAATTGCCATATACGAAGTACTCAAGTACTCGTATAATTTTCAGATTCACTGATCATCTCTCTCAAAAATTGTTTGTGTCATTTCGTAATTTTACAATTCCGCTGCTCTGTCGGATCGGGTTTTGGGAACTTGAGGTTGGGCACAGGGGCGGAGCTAGAAGGGTGGCCAATCGGGCCACGGCCCGCCCCAAATTTGAAAATTCTTTGTATTTTTAATATAAAAATTTATGTAAAAAATATTATCTGAAAAATTCTTTGTACCGGCTCAGCCCAACCTTCAATCCTAGCTACGCCCCTAGTTGGGCCTGCCACATTTTTTAGTTATGCTCTAGTACGTACCGTAAATCAAAGTTGTAATGGGATATTTATGTTCCGGGTCAAATAAAACCACCCAGAACGCTTGTCGCTAACACTTTAAACTTTGGTCTGAGTCATGCCAAGTAAAAATATTGGGGTGTCATTTCGGTAAATAAAATAAAGTTTTCCCTATATATACCTAGTACTGCATCACGTTGAAAAATAGTGAACGATTTAAAGTTTTCACGGGATTAAGGGAAAAATGATTTTTATTTGACACCTTTATAAGTTTCAATTTAATACGTACATACACTCAGTTTTTCATACAAGTTTCAATTTAATAAAAACTTGATCGAAGTCAAAGTCATACCTTTATCGATCAGTTTATCACATGACTTTTTTTATACCAGAGTTAATACGGAGTAAAAATAGAGTGTTACAAAGATATACTACGTATTTGATACGTAACCTTATAATACTAAACTATTACTCCGGTTTGCATTCGTTTTAATAAATTTCTCCGTGTTTGATTGTATGAAGTTCATGATGAAATTGTATCCGCAATGATCGATAAAAATATTGGAAACTAATAAAAAATTCAGGAGTGCAGGCCGGAGGGTTTTCTAATTTGAATTGATTTTGCTTTAATCCGCACGGCATAGCCAGACCTCATCTCTTTAGGGTGGATTTCGGCCGCTAGAGTTTTCTTCTCCGCTATCGATTCTTTTGAGGAGCGGCCGTCTTCCCTACACCTGTTAGAGTTTCTGTTCCGTCGATCAAGCTTTGTTCGTGCGGCTGAGTTTTTCATGGAACGAGAGTTTCGTGCAGCTTTGGAGTTTCGGAACGTGAGCGGAACACAAGGGCGGTGGGCCGGGTGCGGCTTGGATTTTTGTGGACGAAGAATCACAAAGCAACATGATAGAATAGTCTTTTGCACCTCGGACATGGATGTCAATGGCAAATCTCAAGGAGTGAATTGGCGAGAACAAATTGGCGAATGCAAGAAGAATATGGTTACAAACGAATTTTTCGGGGGTTGAAATTCTCTTCTACCATACTATAGCAGCTCGCGCTCCTCCGGAACCACCTCCGTGCGAGGAAGCAATTTGGGGAATTTTTTTATTTTCGTATTATTTTTCATTTCGTAGTACTTACTTTTATTTAAGTTCGAGCAAGTGTGGTTAGAGTATTTTGATTTTTGAAGAACTTTTGGTAGACAGTACTTCATTTTCGATCGTTTTCCGTTTCTTTTTTGCCCGTTTTGTGTCTAGCCAGTCAGGTTGCTTTGTATGGCTGACTGACTCTAGGTCTATTCATAGGGCTTACGATCGGATCTGTAATAGTTGTCTGGATTTTGTTTTGCGTGTTTAATGTATATTAATGAAAAACCGTTTTAATGATAAAAAATTTCACAATTCATTTTTTACAAAGAATATTTCTTCTAGGCAATAAATGGACTGGAAATAGTCAAAATATGTGGAAGACATGAAATGCACTCTACAAGATAAATGTTTGATCGACGGAAGTGATGATTTAAAAGCAATAAATGTGTGTGCACGTAGTTATGTCATACGACTAACCCAATGGGCTATGGTAATATGCAATAATAGAAAATACGAGTAATGTTAAATTCAAGTGAATATTCTATCCCTTCATTATTGCATAGGAAATTAATTATTGTATAGAAATATTGTATGTTACCTATGGTTTCTCAAAAAATAATAATATTCTCCCACTAATTTCCCAACTTCCCGCCTTAGTCATTAAAAATTAATTTTTATCGAAATATTCTATCCCTTCATTATCTCATTTCAAATCAGGAGCAAGCCATAAGTAAGAGTTGGACAGGATCGGTATAAAGAATTTTTACAAATAAATTTTTATATATAAATTTTTACATTAAAAATATAAAAAAATTAAAATTTGGGCTAGGCCGTGGCCCGGTTGGCCACCCCTCCGCCCCTATTTCACATATCAGCTAATTACTGTCCATTTTTACTTGGAATACAGTTCCAAATTTCATACTTTTCCATTACTGCGTACAACGTAGCATTTCACTTTTACGCTATTCTATGTTGATCATCATTTTTTACTAACATTTCAAAATGTGCGAATTTTATTATTTTGAATAATCGTCAATTAATTATACTAATGCCATAGCGGTGGTTGCTAAACGTGACATTCAACAACTAAATAAAAAAATTTAATATTAATTACTCTCTAGTCTCTACACTACAACTAAATAATAGTCGATGGACCTTTGAATGCAATACCAAGTACAGAGTATATATGATTTATAAGAGACACGTACCAAATTAAAAGTCCAAAGCATTAATCATAACATAATTAATCTTTACTATTTTTAAATTAAATTTTTTTGACATGATCATTTTTTAACTAACAAATGAAAGTTTTTTACAAATGTAATTTAATGAGAATAGTAGTAACTTTAGTCATAATGACTTTGATTAAAATAAAGATGGTTTATAAAAAAATTAATTATATCTTAAATGTAGTAATTATTATATTAGTAACTTCAATATAATTATATTAATTTGTGTTCAATTTTACAGTTAAGTGACCTTAATTTTAAAAAATTCAATCCAATTAAAAACATTCAAAATCATAATTCAAAACATACATAAAGAATACAAAGACGGGAGGAGAAACAGGAAAGACACTTCACACTACTAAGTACGTACTAATACATAGTACAATATTTTTAAAGTTCGTAAATGACTCCTACTTTTAGAGTATCAACAATAATAATCCACATGACATTCAAAAAAATCAAAAAAATTAACTCAAACACTAATGATGTTCACATGAATGAATTGAGAAGAATTCCTATACCCTAACTCCTATACTCGTTTTTTCCTTCCACAGTACCACATTCATTTTCTTGGGTAACCCTTCTATATCTTCCAAGCTAATATGTCATTTCCATCACCTCTTATTTTCTTTCTTTTTTTGGTCCACATTGACTTTCTTGAGGTAATTAAGCAAGTTTATTTCTTTGCTTTTCCAAACTTTCATCATCATTTTCTAGCCATAAGTTTTTTAAGCCATGAATGTTCACATATGATAGTTTCATCATCACTTTCATCATCACTTTCCTTGCTTTCCTTGCATCCATGGAATGCAGCGGCTGCAAGATTCCCACAAATCCATATTTGAATTTCCATATTCTAAAACAGACATTGGTAAATCGAACTATAGACTATGAAAGTTTTAATTTCTTATGATTTATTCTTTTGGACGCCAACATGAATTGAAGTTATCTTTATAATAATAATCCAAGTGGAGATTATTATTGTAAAATTGCTGAAAGTAATCACATTCATAATTGATGCTTCACCAAGATAGATACAGGTGAATTTTTTTAAAGAATTACCAAGACAACAATGATAAAAATTATAAAATAAATAAATTACAAAAAACCCTGAGAAAGAAAAATCGCATCCGTGTGCCATTGGTGAAGAAGTGTAACTTATAAATAGAAGATTGTTGTTTCAAAAAAATAAATAGAAGATTATAATTTGTCACGTTACATTCAGGGATGTGGGTCTACTTTGAGCAAATATTATTAAATCCAATGGAAACATAACTTAAATCAATTTAGGTTGGTAATATTTTTCCCAATTATAATAAATTCATTAAAACTTCACTGAACAATAAAAATAATATATATATAGGGGGATATATATATATATATATAGGGGTGAGATCACATACAAACTAGTCCTCTCATACTAACCTACAAACTGTCACAAACTGTGCATCTTTACATTATTTGTGCTACATATTGAAGTTCAATGTGTTGCATATTATTTGTATTGCATATTGTAGTCCAAAGTGTTGCATATTATTTGTATTGCATATTGCAATTCATAGTGTGCATCTCTACTGTATTTGTATTGCATATTGAAGTTCCAAGTGTTGCATATTATTAGGTTTGTAGGCTAGTATTTTAAGCATGGTTTGTATTTGATCTCTCTTATATATATATATATATATATATATATATATATATATATATATATATATATATATATATATATATATATATATATATATATATATATATATATATATATATATATATATGGAGCGGTTCTAATGAGAACACTCCTTATTGTGAGAAATGAGAACAAATCATAACCATACATCTTAATAAATTAAAGGCTATAAAATGCTTAGGTGCGTGGTTGTATAGTGGGAGTGCAAACATTTTAAAATTACCCTTGCACTCTCTATAATCCGTACGTTGGTTCATAAGGGCATTACAGTAATTTAAAAAGAATTATTTAATGTGCACATCCGTTTGAAGCTACCACTTACCTAAAAAGTAGGTAGAAATAAATATCCAGATTTTCTAAAATGTTTTTATTTTAAAATTCATTTAACTCTTAAATTTATAATTTGATTTTAACAAAAATTATATCAAATTAAATAATTTTTTATTATCTTTCATATGACACCAATAATGCATATATAATTTTATTTTTAAAAAATTAAGTATAATATGTGTACTATGAACCACACCAAGTATCTCTAGCTACTGCACACAAGAACATATAACTAACACACAAGTACAAATATCAAACGCACAAGTACAAGTCTCCAGTGCACAATATGTATAACAAAACACTATAATAAGTATCTTAAGCACAAAATCCAATATTTAATGCACATGAGAAGTAGTATCTTACACATAATTTTCATATAAAGCACTATAACAAATATCTCAATCACAAAAAAGAGTATCTAACGCATAACAATTAAGATCTAATATGTAACCCACAAAGACTTCATATAGTACACATGAACTAGTATCTAAGGCACAATATGTATATACGTTAGAGAACTCGTATCTAGCACATAGTATGAACATAGAGAGTCACAACAAATATGTCATTCACAAGAATCGGTATCTAACACACAATCCCAAATATGTAATACACATGAACTAATATCTGACACACAACCTATTTATGTAATGCACATGAACTTGTATCTAACTCACATTTTGTATATCACATAATAACGAAAATATGTGTAGAAAATATATCTATGATTATATGGTGATTAATAATTATGGTAATGGGTGAGTGAATGGATAATTGAATAAAAAGGGAATGATATTTTGTTTCTTTTGTCATAAATGGAAATTTCAATTACGTGAGTACCTTATTTAATAAAAGCATGCAAAAAATTCTCTAACCAAATTTCATATTATATACTACGTACAATCTAATGTTTGCAATAGTGGACTTGTTGAATGTAATAAATGCCATTAGTCGGTTACGAAATAAGCTTTAGGAAGAGAATACCTAAATACCCTTCACTTAACTATGTGGAGCGCAGATCGGTTCTTGAAAATGAATGGCTGTGATTTGTTCTCACGTTCTCACGTTAAGACTCGTTCTCATTTGAACCAAAATCTCTCTCTCTCTATATATATATATAGTTTGGTTCAAATAAAAAGTGCTTCCTAGGTGAAAAATAAGAACTAATTTTGGCCATTGATGTGAAAAAGTGGATGGAAAAGATCAATTTTGAGGTAGGAAACGCGGTGACATATTTGTAATTACGGTGAACTTTTATTGAAAATATTATGACAAATGTGCATCAGCATAGTCAAAAAGTGCACACGTAGAGCACAAAAGTGCAATACGGTACAAAATAAAAAGTGCACAAGCTGGAAAATTTTGACAATCTTTTTTGACATGCATGAGTGCACTTTTAATTAATCAGTAACTATCCACTTTATAATATAAACGTTTGCACATTTTTTGAAATCATCTCTTGTGTTTAAAGTTCATCTAATCCATCCATTTTCAAGTGATGGAATGTCAAGATTTGTTCTCACTTTTCATGGGAAGACTACTTTTTACTTGAACTCATCGTTAGATTGTAATCTGTGAAATTGAATGTGCATTTAATAAAACTGAAATGTGCATTAGGTGAAATAGAAATGTGCAACATAAAAGGTAAGTTGAAATGTGCATTAGGTGAAACTGAAATGTGCAGAATAAAACTATGATACGGTGGCATTTTTTGAGCCATTTATTCTGCACATTTCAATTTCACGTAATGCACATTTGAGTTTACTTTTCATTCTGCACATTTCAATGTCACTTAACGCACATTTCAGTTTTACCAAATGCACAATTCAATTTCACATCATACAATCCAATGGTTCAGATTCATTCTCGTTTCTCTCATGGGAGTCATTT